ATGATTAATGATAAAGGTAAATTAGTAACTAAGTGTAAAATTATCTATTGATTTCATAAACTGAACAAGTATTGTTGAAATCCCAAAATAGTATAGTGGACAACTATTGTTGAACAGAGGGAGTACTATTTTGGATGTCTAATAATACTTGTCCAGTTTATAAAATCAATGAATAATTTATTATTTTGTGTCTATTTTACCTTGCTATTAAATAGTATTCATTTTCCAATGTTTAGATGACTTATATTTGATTATTTGTCCACTTTCCTTTTTAGTTGTCTATAATTACTTGTCCATTTTTACAAATCAAGAAAGGACAAAAAAAGTTTACTTCTTATACCCTCAATTAATTACTTTGAAAAATGTAGAACTTCTTGAAAAACTTAATTTTTAATTCATCCACTTCATAATTAATATGGGTAAAATGGTAAACTCACTATGTCAATAATTGTTTTCTTAATAGGTGTGTCAATTCAAAAGTGGACAAGTAATTAGGGATATAGGGAGTATTTGTCACCTTTAATTTTTAGATTTCACGTGCATTAAGAAATTAGGTAAGCTTACAATTCTACCATTATTTAATATTTTTTTAAAGTCAACTTTCAATAAATGATAAATAAATCCATCTTTTATTTTTTAATTTGTTTGTTGAGATTTATTTTTCAAAATCAGATTTTATAAAGTAATGCAATAGTGAGAGTAATTAATCAATGTACGAAGTAATTACCATGAACATTAGTATATTAGTTTTCTTAGATTGGTCAAATATCTATTTTTAAGACTAATTAACTATTAATATTTAATGGTATAATAGGAAAATATTATAATTTATGCATTGATTTTATGAAATGACAAGTATTATGGATCAACTATTTATAGTAAGGACGACATATAAAAAAGAACGAAGAGAATACTTTTTAATTTCTGCGTCAAATATAGTGGACAACTATTATTGAATGGAGGGAATAATTAGCAAGAAGAAACTATGGGCATTCACTATCCATCACATAAACAAGCGGCCAATACAATCATATAGCATGGGAAAATGTTTGCTCACACGTATGATATTTGCACAAAACTGTATATATTAATTCATCATGATTAATTGATAAAATAAAATAATAAATAATTATAATTAAGTAATAAAGTTTATGTGTAATATATTTATTGTTTTTAATTTGTACATTGAATACAAATAAGTTCTTGTATACTATAATATAATAATATATAAAGTATGATCTCCACAAATTAAATTGGATTGAAAAAAAATAATATATATATA